ACTTTCGATGAGGTCTTCCTCCTAAATTTCTGACCTAATAACAGCCGGTTTTGTCTGAAGTAGACAATCTATCTTGCTATCCCACTATTATCATCAGAAGGTTTTTAGCCACAGTACAAGTAAGCATTGGATATAACCAAGGATTTTACAACAGTGTTTTGGAATACAACATCAATTTTTGCCTGAACCATTCAAAAATCCTTCTTTTTTTTCTAAATGCAAACAGTTACTTCAAATCTTTACGCGTACAGCAGAGTTTTGTAAACACATAAGCTTTACAAGCAGAGGTGCAAAAGAAAGAAGTGTATATTTGCTCATGTCTTGATGAGCTTTAATCTTTGAGTAGTTAACGGAAATTAAATGAATCAACCTTTACGAGTAAATGCTTTTCCTTACGACCTCACCTATTTTCGAACTCCTCTATGCATCCATCAGCGGCAGTGTAGCCGATAGGGCATGGGTTTGGTGGCTCACAATACGCTGGAAGGACGTTGTCTGTTTTCACCTAAAACTGGAATATCTGTTGTCGTAAAAACTAGAGAATTTCACAAATGCTAACCTCCTGTCTTTGTTGGAAATTTTCCTCTTCACGAAGCTTTTGTTCTCCTTCACCAGCTCCTCCTAGAAATTACATAATGTCACTATTAGTACATTTTATGCTTGCACACATTAGTGTAATTTTTGAGCTTCTGATAGAGTTTTTTCAACGCCTTAGATTATACATATGATAATCTAGCAGCTTGATGTAGTAGGTAAAATTCTAATGAATTGATTGAAATAATCTTAAAGTTTGGTCAGCTGTGAAAACCTCATTACGTTGAAGAACAAATCATTTGAGCGTAAATCTGAGGTGAGAAATGTTTACATGAATTAATAATAAGAATAAAAATTTTCCACATATACTGTTTGTCCGACTCCTAATGCATCTTGCCATCATTATATACTTTGAGTATTAAGTCATAAGCTAAAATTGGAATTGTTCATTAGACTTTTTCGGCTTGTTTGCCTTCGTCAGAGCTCGAAAAGTGATAAGTGAGAATGTATGGGAGGGTACATCTCACTCTGACAAAGGCTTCATACATAATTGTGGGTTGAATAATTACAACAACTTATTTAGAAGCGTTTCTTGATCTTGATTTCACAAATTGTAATGAATCAATTGAAAAACAAAAAGAGGCAAAAAGTACTAAATTTCGAAGGACACTTGGTCGAAGTGGCTATTATAATAATATAAACTGCTGACTAAATCTGACTTGATTTCCTGCGAAGCGCTCCTTTGAAAGAAGTTATGGACTTTTCTTCCTGCCCCAAATGGCTTACAAGTCCTGGACCAAAACGCTCAAAAGTTTCTGACTAAAAAACTGCATCGGAAAAGCTGTATGTGATAAACACAGACCTTCAAAATAAAATAACCTTCAGCTTGTTTTCGGGTTCAACTCGATATTATAGAGGAGTTTTGACGAGCTACGTAGGCTAATTAGTAGACACAAACTTCTCCCAAGAAACGCTTCACAAATGGGTAAAACTGGAATCAGTTTTTCAAGCTGCACCCACCAGTTTGCTCCCTATTCAAATCCCCATTTGGACAACCTTCTCAGATGCTTAACTATAATTTTTGCACTTTGCGACGGATGTGTCCTTTGGCGATGAGCATAAAGAAAGCGGATGTATAGCTCAACATTAATACAATAAAAGGATGAATATGTGACATAACAGTTATTTTCACCGCTATGATTTCTGCGCGTAATATACTTTTCGACACAAAAAGAAAAGCAGGCCTATGTTAAAGCTTATGCACAGATGCATGAAAGCAATAATGGATTAGCTGTTTCGGGACGAAAGCGAACATCGTGTGCATGTTCAAAGAAATGATCTAGCTCATAAGAGTATCTGTTTAATCCCAATAATTCATGTACTTTGAGATAAGGCAAACACGATATGTAATTTCTAAGTCCGTTCCCTACAATTTGCAATTTCTTATAAGGTCCATAGATGATTGCGCATTGTTAAATG